TTATACAGGACGTATAAATAAGTAAGTGTACCCAACACATATAATTATGGTCAGTTTTGTTATGCGTTACATGGTGGTGAGCAGTTTTACATTCCACGCTATTAGATGCTGAGTATTTTTGAAAAATACACTTCATTTTTTCGAATCAAATCGATTAGGTCAGTGGACAAGGAATATTGGCTCCTTTCAGAAACAGTGAGATGTTCTTAAATATTACTATTCTTTACAAATCTATTGTATTAGTACGATTTTGTTATAAAAAGAAATGGTAGGTCATTGTGAGGTCAGAATGAGGTCATTTCGAGTCAATTGCAATACCAAACGTCACGTGACGACTGAATGGTTACTTCAGTGGCGTAAGAAATATGCTTTTGTTTACTCAAAACGAAAATAGACGTTTTGTTACGTACTGTACTGTAATGCCCTGTTGTTGACTGGCCAGTCTCCATACTGCTGAAAGCTGTTCCTATGTTAAAATTAGAGTATCGTTACAATCACATTTTTTTTTATGGCATAAGCCGGTAAACTAGCTGACGGATCACCTGTTGGTAAGCAATTGTCGCCCATGGACACCTGGAACACCAGCGGCGTTACAAGTGCGTTACCGGCCTTTTGGGGATTAGGAACTTGAGGATCGTTAGGCATTCAGGGATTGGGGAGATTGAGGAAGGTAAGGGTAATTGGGCCTCCGGTAACCTCACTTACACGACGAAACACAACGCAAGCGTTGCTTCAAGTCGATTTTTTTAATAAGTAAGTAGGTACTTATAACTCTCAGTACCTATCTAATTGTTATTAGTTTTGTATTAATTATTGTAAGTAATTCATAAGGAAGTTACAGCAATTGTTTATAAACGTTCGCCCAATGGCGAGATTCCAAAATATCGTGTGTACCTAAACATTTGTCGACGTAAGTATTGGAATCTTGACAATGTCGAATTGTTTCGAATGGTCGGTTGGATGATCGCATTCTCTTCACGAATCATTAATGAGGTTGGAGCTAAATTAGTCCGGATTTCAATTACACCTGAGCCATTTGTATTCTATTGTAGTAAGCAAAGTACTTGAAACCGTTGTTTCTATGCCATTTTCAGTGATTGGAATTTAAATGAATTTGAGACTCAATTGCTGTATTTGACTAATCATTGTTCAATATTGGAGCCTCGGAACCGATCGAAATATTACATAGGATCATAGAGTATTTTTATAAGTTCACGTTTTGATGATAGAACACAGATTGGAACAGATTCATCATCATCATTAACAGTAGTAAGGAGCACTTACACTACTGAACCAGTGCTGCAGCAGTGGTGGTGTTTCGCTTTGATCTTCAGGTTTTACGGAAGACTGGGGATTGCAGTTATGTCACTAATTTGGATTTGAAGATTCCTTAATTCAGCTTAGGACATATATACGCGCACTGGAATCAACAGTTGAAAGGATAAAAAGAATTGATGTCATGTGTTTTAAGGAAATAAGTAAAATAAAGTAAAGCTGTAAAGCTTAAAAATACATTGCATTTGTTCGCTACCTCTCATAGTTTGTCCAGTATCGAATGGCGAACTGTGGAAGGTCAACGAGTCACTAGTTCAGCTACAGACAGTGTACCGAATGCGATCGATTTTCCCAATGAATCAATCGGTAAATATTTTAATTGAATCGATTGTACGGCGATGAGTGAAGACGTTGATTAATTATTTTGTTTTCTACGTTTATTTTAAATAGCTAATAGTAGGTATATAAGTGTGCGACCTACGTACGATGTACTATTGGAAATGTTCAGTTGGTATTCTTTTTTGACAATTTCTTTTATTTATTATTCGTATATTTATTTACTATACTATATATAGGTCAGCTATACCAAATCTTTTATTTTTCTGTACATTTTTTTTAATATGGGGTCATGGTAATATTAATTTGATGTCAAGGAGAATTATAAACTGCCGTTAAGTTATGAGAACAAAAAAGTAAAATGATTCAGTTATTTGTAAATTGAAGACATTCAATATAAGTTTTTGTTCGATATAGCTAATTCCGTTAAAAGTTTTTTTTAAGGGGTGAAAATCATCGAATGACTACTCCCGCCTGGGTGAGCCGAGAGGGAGTGTCAGACTCTTTATAACTAAAAACCACCCCGTTCCTTCTCCTGCACGTCGAGCCGGAGCCCCGGTTACCCGTTAGGTTCTCCGCGACTCCGAACTTTTACGTCTTCAAATTAAGCAATAAACTCACTTTTAAATAAGTTTGTCTGAGGTGAAAAATATTAAATAACTGTTGCAATTACGTAGTTCAGTATTACATTACAAGATATTTGAATGGAAAGTATCAAACATTTCCTTGCTAAAATGTCATTATAGATTTAAAAATTTGCATTACTACCGTGAAATTTGAAATCGTGCCTGGTGTATGGCAATAGGCTCACCAAATGATACAAATTAAGACTGAATCGATCAGTTCGCAAGTTCCCGCTGCAAGATATTTAAAAAGTTTCATAAAGCTCAGTGTTGCAAGCGTTATATTTATATTTATTTTTAGACGTCGCCGGATGCTGACGGCTAAAATTAGTTTAAATAGGAATGTGTGTTAGTGAGTCTGTTGGTCTACAGGCGATTATATTAATATTGTCGCTTTTAACACGTTTAAAATATTACTGACTCGGTGGTTAAATGTCGCAACAGGTTTTGGATTCGATTCTTGACTCGGACATCGTTTATAAAATCCTTTTCAATTAACCAATTAAGTAGATTGTCCAAAATCGTAACCAGTATTTGAATAGTAAAATAATAATTATGGTAGGCTCGTTGGAAAATTGGCCAAGTTACTGCAATTAGTTATTATCTCAATCTGACTGAAGTGAGAAAATTGCACAGGTAAGTACAGAAGAAAACTGAAGCGATCGAATGCAATTTTGGCACTGACTATACAGACTATACTATTTTTTTTTATACCTCTACCATGACGGTGGCAAAAAAGCACACTATACAGTATAAGTTTCGTTAGAGCATTAAATTGGTTACTAAACATTGAACAGGCTTCAATTAAAGCAACAAATTAAGAGAATAGCTAATCAATGTGATGCTATTTAGTACTTTAGCTTAATTAGACACAGCAACCTGCTGTTCGCCGTGCAATCATTACAATCGACATTCCCTTGCTCATTTCATAGCTATACCAAATGTACTATGGACTTTAATGGTGTTTTTGTACACAAAGCTATGGTTTTACTTAAAGATAGAATTTTGTATTCTTTAAGGCAACAATTGTTGACATGAAATTATATTTATCTCTGTAAATCTTTATTAGATGAATATAAACTACCCGTATATCCCCAAGCGGTCACCGGTGACCGCTCTCCACTAACTACATTATAGACCTTATTTCCAATGTTTATAGACTACTTTTGTATGAAAAAATTTAGGGATGATTTTCAACAATTGTCAACGGGTTAATTTAATGAATAATTCTCTAATATCTGGTCAATCCTGGTCTTACCACATACAAAACTAAAGAGGATTTTTTTAAGGGCGAAAATCATCGAATGACTGCTCCCGCCTGGGTGAGGCGGGAGGGAGTGTCAGACTCTTACTGATTAAAAGCCACACCGTTCCTTCTCCTGCACGTCGAGCCGGGGCCCCGGTAACCCGTTAGGTTCTTCGCGACAAATTAAGTAATTTTGATAGTATTAAAAAGTATTCGTATCCTGTATATATATTTGTCGCGGAGAACCTAACGGGTAACTGGGGCTCCGGCTCGACGTGCAGGAGAAGGAACGGGGTGGTTTTTAGTCAGTAAGAGTCTGACACTCCCTTCCGCCTCACCCAGGCGGGAGCAGTCATTCGATGATTTTCCCCCCTTAAAAAATCCTGTATATATCTCCGAAAGTACAGTCAAAGATAACAACCAAATAAAAATCAACGAAACAACACGAACAACTTAAAGTAAGAGATGCACATACGAAAGTACCCGTATATGCACATAAAAATTTTCAGACATTGAAAAAAAAGTATAAAAACACCGAGTTTTTCACCACAGACGAACCGGTCGAAGAGATATTGTCAAAACACATGTCAATTTTTGTGAAGCATCCAAACGAAGTCGTGTGCAAAAGCTAGTGTTTCAAAAATAAACGACTCGTGCGATGAGCCGACAGTTTCCAATATTTTAATGGTTGCTGTACAACATGGTTCTTATATTCGTACGTCAATAATTTAACAAGATTCTGTGTTTTTGATTTACAAAACAAGATCTTTGCTAAAGTAATTAATAGTTGAAAGATAAAATACGATGTGGTAGGAATATGCTAGTTACGTTGTTCATCGCATTGTGTGAGCGAGGCTGTCATCATAGATCAAAATATGATTGTACGTCATACAGATCTTTCAATCATCTGTTATTCCTTGAAATCTTAGTTTACGTTTGTTTTCCATGCTGTTACAAGTATGTAATGGCCCATAACATTTGGCCAAACTTGTTTTTATATACCTACTCAATTATTATTATCTAAAGATGGTTGCTGACATAAATTTTAAGTGTGGGAGAGCCATGTTTCGGCACGAATGGGCCGGCTCGACCGAAGTGATACCACGGCCTCACAGAAACCGACGTGAAGCAACGCTTGCGTTGTATTTCGTCGTGTGAGTGAGGTTACCGGAAGCCCAATTACCCTCCCCTTCCCCAATCTCCCCAATTCCTGAATCTCCAACGATCCTCAAACTCCTAATTCTACTACACAATATTTGGCCTTATTAAAGGACTGCAAGTATAGACGACGTTACGCATATTATATCAAGTTACCGCGTCTGCTGAATCACTGAATGCTTTTTCATAGCGAACAATACCTTGACTCGAGTTGACTCGGTGAATTATTGGAAGACGGTGAAAAGGTCGCGACCGTGGACTCGAACCGTGTGAAATTACCTGTGGCAGACATTTGGCAATAATTTGAATTGGAACAGTTTGGCTAGGTCTGTGCTTGAGGCAGGTGGAGTTTGGTAGCCAACATGGTTGCTCTGACCGGTGTACTGTTGTTGCTTACCCTGGTCTCCGTCGCGGGTGAGTTGATGTGACGTGTTTACTGCCTTGTTCTATTGTGTTGTAATAAATGGACATACTTCTAATATTTTTTTGTGATTAGTTTAAATTTTCACTTTGTGTTTGATTGTGTTAGTTAGCTATGTGCCTAGTAAAGTTATTTAACTAAACATAGCTTTGCACTTGTTTTTGTTGGAGGGTGAGGTATTAAGATGGACTTCTGTAGTTTGTCTATGGTCATAATGAAATAGTGAGTTTACAGCATATATTGGGCACTCGTTTAAACACCCTGAAAATTGAAGATCTCTGATCTGTGGATCCGATATTGACAAGTTTTAAATGATATCCTAAATAACTTGTAAAAAGTAAATAATACAACAAATAATTTCTAGATCTCCAAGAGGCAGTTGACACAGAATGTTGCGCGGACGCCGCCACAGACACCACTGCAGATGATGCTCAGAACACCGAGGAAAGTGAACAAGAGTTGGATGTGGAGCTGGAGGAAGCATGTCCTGAGCTGAGTGGCCAGATCATTGGAGGAAGGGCAACCTCAATACAACGACACCCTTACCAAGTGTCAATGGTGCTGAATGGAAACTCCTTCTGCGGTGGCTTCATCATCAGTCAGGACTACGTGCTGACTGCTGCTCATTGTGTACAAAAGTGAGTCACAAAGAAAGTTTTTTTATATGAAATCTTTCTCTAGTGAGTTTTCAGTTCCTTATTGTTCAGCAGTTAGTCTTGCTATCATGGGATCAAAGAAGCATATTGGTATTGATATTATTTGAACACAGTGCTTATGCCTTACAATAAAGATAAAAGAATAAGAATGAACAAGCTAATAAAAACTTTCCCGTATTTCTCAAGGTAATTACAGGCTCATGAACAAACTAGAAGCCCATAAGCTTCATTGTAACCAGCTATGCAATAAAATTATGTTGCCAGGAAAAATCAAAGCGAGTTAATACGACCATAAATGGGGCTTTGTTGACGTTCCATTTTATCAGTAATCATAAAAATAGTTATACTTTTTACTAGGCGCAGTAAATTCGAAGATATTGTTAGGAGGCAGTACCGTTTCGGGATCTCCGGTGTCAAGGCCGGGCTCGTAACGTTTCTTAACTTTACGACTTTGGTAATAATAAAACTGTGACCAGAGGAGCGGGACTTAGGGTTTACGGTCTTCTTTAACATTGTTGCTTATCACTTCAAGGGTTTACTGGAATACATAGAGCGTGGAAAATTATTTATTCCAGAGAAATATTTAGACGAACGACGGACATTTCATTTCCATAGTGCGACGCGTGCCAGGGAAATCCTAGGCGTTAATCTGCACTGTCCATAATATTAGCATTGTTTGAAGATTCCTTATTACTGATGAGTTACTCGTCTTTATTTATGAGCTTTAATTATATTTGTGGAGGTTTTAGTTGGGGGTAATACAGATTAGAATGTTTCTATACGAAATAACAATGGCACAGAACAAACAATGTTAGTGTATAATCGTGGTCGTTACTGCGGGCTCGGCAGTTGGTTTTTCTCTGCGTGAATATTTTATGAAGTACACTGTTACGTCAGTTGAAGTGCCCTTCGCTCTCCACTGCGAATGTTTTGGTTGAGTGGGTTTTCACGAGTTTACGATGCAGTGCTCGTACTGCTCGTCCGATGGATATTCGTAGAGCTGAAGGGTACATTTTTGGTTTGATGGAGAGCATGGTTCAACGAGCCTTATGGAGCAATCAGATCAGATTCCAAGTAGTTTGTGAAGCTATTCAGAATATGGATTCGTGTTTTAACATTTTCGTGGTTCACAGAGTAGTGAAGTCAAAAGGTGATTCAAATGTGTAAATAAAATATTTTTCGTATTCTTCTTCATTTCATATTTCTTTTTCATGTTATTTTACATTTCCAGAAAATTTTGTATTTCATACATACGACATTGAAACGAACTTTAATTAAAATGAGTTTTTGTTGCAATAGCATTTGTAAAATCTAGGTTTCAGTCGATTTACTTACAAGAAATTACCTGAAAATTGCAATCAACAAAATTGATCATTTCACAAATCCGTTGATTAAGTTTTTGTTTCTAGTGTTTGTTTTTTGTTCATATCTTAATCTCTCTTAAACTGAATTGAAATCTTAATCTGAATTGCAGTAACATTAATGTTATTTTACTGATTTAGAAACTTAACTACCCTCATTTGTTTGGGTAAAGCACAGAACACATAAGGGTAAAGTATCATTGGGAATTTAACTTACGAAACAAATTCCAATTCAATTCTGATTGAAACCTAACATATGGTGTAAACAGTCACCGTGTTCACTGTGTTTATATTCGTATTCTTTGTTACTTGGTATAACTGTGGAAATAAACTGTTTTTCCTTTTTTCAGTCCCTTACTACTACCTCCACGTAAACCTTATATTTGTAATTCTACCTCTTTAGGTAAACGCATGAAAGTCATTAGCATTATTTAACTTCACCTTTCCATCAATTCCAATAACAATCCATATATGTTGCAGCACATCACCGACGGCTATCCGGCTTCGAGTGGGCAGCACCCGGCGGGACTCGGGAGGCAGGATCGTGAGAGTGGCAAACGTAACAGTACATCCTCAATATGGAAGACCACAGTTCGACAATGACATTGCTGCACTGAGACTGGCCAGGCCTTTGAATTTCAATGCCAATATACGAGCCATCAGACTGCCGCAGCCACGACAGCCTGTTCCACTTGTGAGGCTAACTGTCACTGGATGGGGTTTAACAGCTGTAAGTCTTTTTCTACTATTTACTATTAAAAGTCTGCTATTGGACTTTGGGCCTTATTATATACACAACAGGATTTACATCAATATTGTGTTCCACGTTTCTATTTTTTCCCTTTTGTATCTTGTAACTTAATTAGCTACGATTTACTCTTAAAGGATTAAAACAATGGATAGAAATGTTAGAAGACAGTTTGAGTTCTTTGTAACAAATAATTATACACTCAATAGATTTTCTTTTGACGAATGGATGGCCCTCAAATGGAATGCCCTTATTAAAGAGCATCCACGATATGGCTTGTCTAGCTAGCTATCAAACAAACGAAATGTGAGACTTTGACTTTTATTGTTTAAAACTTATTTGTGTACAGGTTGGTGGGCGTCGTATCCCTCGTATCATGATGGAAGCCAATGTCCCCGTGGTACCACACTGGCTCTGTCGCCTGTCGTATGGGCAATCATTGACCAACAACATGTTCTGCGGAGGACATTTCCTCATTGGAGGAGTGTCATCTTGTCAGGTGAGTCGAGGAATAGTGACTGGTAAAACAATCTCTAGTTGTTATAGGTAATGAAGTTTTAAATCAAATCATGAAATATGTATATTTGATTTGTCTAATTGTAGATATAACACACAATGGAGAAGTAGATTCCTATTTTAATGTGCTAATGGACGTACGTGGGCACGTCTACGAAAACATTTTTTTGAACAGCCCAGTCTAAAATTACTTTGTAGACAAAATCATTGTATTTAACGCTATTCAAGTGCAGATTTGAATACAAATTACGAAGGGAAGCAACTTGAAGTATTCTAGTATTTGAAAATAACAACAGTTTAGTAAATCTGTATCGTGTACTCGTACAGGGTGACTCCGGAGGGCCGGCCGTGTTCCGAGACACGGCATTTGGCGTCGTATCGTTCGCAAGAGGATGTGCATTACCGCTGTCACCGACCGTCTTCACCAACATCGCTTCCCTTAGAAATTGGATCAGAGACAACACTGGCGTCTGATACAAAACCAACCGTATTCCACATACTCACAGAGTATATTTTTAGACTTAGCAACACTGTGATAGATAAATGTATTTAGAATCCAGGAGAACTTACGCTATCCCTGGTACTTAGTGCTACCGTTATTCTGGCTTCCAGCCAGTTAGTTATTCGAACTAGAAAATATGTTGTTTTGTAATTTTGTAGCTGCGATTAAGCCGTGTATTGGAACATTGACGCTTTTTGGTATTTTTCCAAGTTTCGACTACGTTTATTTTTTACTAATACTACGAAAATATCACTCGAACTGATCGTTTTATGAATGGCTTATGTTATTTGCCCATTATGCTAAATATATACAAATTGTTGTCCACATTGGGGACAGATGTTATGTTTTATATACTTTTCTATTAAACTGTTTTACAATTACCTAAATCGTGTTTTAAGCAGATATAAATTAAGCTTTCTTGGAACTATTAACTTATGCTCACATGCGACACATTGTCAGTCATTGTAATACTCATGAGCTATTACATAAATGCCGATCCATTTAATCTGTCAGCAATGAAGTTATTAAATAGTCGAACTATCTAATTTCTTGAAACATGCCCCATGTGAGTTCACAGGCAATTAGTTTGTGTGCTTCTACATTAATTTTAACTCTTCATTTAATTTTAAATATTTATTTTAGTAAATAATGTTTCAGTAAATATTGACACAAATGTTTTTGATAGTATTTAAACAGACTCTTTTTTAGATAGCAGTAGAACAACTGGTATCTAAATAAATAAAAGTCGTTACAGAGTCATTTTAATTCTTAGATGTTACGTGTGCTGCCATCTACTTTTTTATATGTGTTTTAACGTTTGAAAAGTTAGAAATTATACCCTCTAGTAATTCCAACCAATAGGTAAGTATGAGGGGTTAGAAATATGTAAATGTTATTTAAGCTACTACTTCAAAAACTTTATTTATATCAAGTTTACAAGACGGTGTTGTTTTCAATATTCTTCGTAATGTGACCATGCACCCAGTCATAGATGAGCGGGTATGACAGTCGGGTGTAGACTCCTGGGAAGTTTCCACGAGCGCAGCCGAGTCCCCAGGACACCACTCCGATGAGAACACCTTCGTACACTATGGGACCTCCACTGTCACCCTGTCATAGGAGAACGAATTGAGAAGACAGAAAACTATTGTGTCTTACAATTGTTAACTTATAGACCTGGAATCTGCAATATGGTTGGTGCGGTGGTTTGGGGAGTGCACCGTATTTGTATGACCTGCAATGATTGTCCCGGGTCTGCGTGTGACAAAAAGTCAATTTTGTGTTAGTCCACAGCATAAGAAATAACCCTTATGTGGAACAACAGAAAGTAATGATTTTGGGATTTTCGGTTTCTATAAATCCAGGTCCGTCCTGATATCTATTTGCAAATGGCTTTGGTCCTCCAAGAAAAACCAATGTGTTAAGCTTTTTCGTTCTTAGTGTTACCTGGCAGGCATCAGGTGATGCTTGACTGAAGGAACCCGCACAGAACATGGAGGCAGGATCAATGGCCTTCCTGTCGAGGCCGGAGCGACGGCACAGCTTCATAGCTATGGTCTTGATTGTGGAGGACTGAAGGTAGGTCGCGCTTGGACCACCTTCCTGTAATCAAAAATACTTTAAAAAGCTCTTTATTATCTCCTTATTTTATAAAATAAAGCACAGAATGAGGCAACGTGCCTTAAGTTTACCCCAACCACTGACAATAGCCGGTTCATCAGCTGGTAGCCTGGCTTCCCTCGCCACTAGCCGTATTGGCAGGACCCTGGATGAGAACCGCAGCGGCGAGTACAGGCGCACCAGCCCGATGTCATTGGTCTTCGTCTTGCTGACGTACCGAGGGTGGACGTAGCACTCCTTGACGTCATACATCTCACCTCCATGCGTCTTCCATGATGAGCCAAGTCGTACGCTCAGCTCGCTTGCTCGTGCTCTGTTTTAAGATTGTCATTAAACTGCGTTCCTGTATTTTGTACAGATGATGCAACATGAAGTTGTTCGGGTTTTTCAAACGATGAAGTTGGTCTATTACAGATAACTGAGGCTTTGAGGTAGTTTGGATGAGGTGCGGTATCGTCGGTACAACCTATAAAAAAGTTAACTAATCTCTTAATGATACTACCAGTTAAATTATGAAGCTAGAAATGGAATACAAAAGAAATGTGATCTAATAAAATAACAATAGTCTTACAGAAGACTTGAGTAAACATTTATCTAACCAAACTGTTACTAAAGAAGTGTAAACAATAGACCAGACAATGGGTCCATTCAGATTTCAGAACACGAAACGAGTCATGAACTTTTTTTGTCATTTATCTTTGAAATAATTTATTGTAATAAATAATATCGAACGAGAACAAATAGTTGCGACAACATCACTTGTAAAAACTTATGACCTTGAATAAAATATTTTATTGAAACCGTCGCGTGCCGGTTTAATTTCTAATTAGTTACAATGAGGTATTACGAAACAGAAATACCCAAGCAAATCGGTGTCGGAACTTTTTCATTAGTCAATGAAAACGAATTAATAGAATTAAGACCGATAGTCGGAATTATGGTGAATATCTAATGAGGTGTAAAATTAATGTTTGGACAAGTGCAGTTGAACCATTTAAGTACGATATTTAATTTATTAGTGGTTATCGATGGGTGCATTTGTTCATACATGTGATGATAATGAAAGACGTCCATTTACTGATACTATGCGTAAGATAAGATTCCTTTTCAAGACAGGGGATCAATGCAAACAACGATTTAGGTAACTGTATGGAAAATAATAGAAAAAATACAATCAAATAACATTACATAAAACAAAAAGCCTATTACGCAAAAGACATAAGAAGAAAAGCATCTCAGTCCTAATACGAAGGATATTGGAGCAGTGAGCATGTGCCAACATTTTGCCAGGAACGTATCGCTTTCCAAGTGGGTGACAATAAATTTCTCGAGAGCAATCGTAAACTCCCACGAGACCTACTACCTCTGTAACAAAGTGTGGCTGCTTTTGTTCCATGCCCTCTGGCGATTGCTATTTTGCATCGAAAAAACTCAGGGCTGGTACTCACGGTAGGGCATAAATTGAAATTGGCGAAAGGAACGCAATTCGCTAGGGGCGGGCCATAAAAAGTGCGCGCTACTGCCGCTCGAATTTATTTGTAGTTCGCGGGCTCCTGTACTTGTCTGGTTTTTGTTGGCTGTTTATTGTTTTTGCCTTTATTCACTCTCGTGAGTTTAGTGTGAGTCTCAACTTGTATGCTTTACGGTCGAATAGTTACGCTGTTTTATCTATTGCGACTACACGAGCGAAATTCAGTATTTCATTTTACCTAGTCCTGGTTTTCAACTTGTGGTTTTATTCTACAGCTCTATCCACTGGTAATTAAAAAATAAGTTCTCTAGTTTTTCTGTTTATTCTAAACATATTATTATGATCGTAGCAGAGCGCTTCGATACTCTAGATCTAGAAAACCGCTAATTAAAGATGTTCACAGTTAAACTTACCTTAACAGACAATGAGCAGCAGTAAGCAACCAGATACCAGTGACCACTGAGCCACCGCATATAGGGTAGGTCTTTTCCCGCAGTGAGACCTGCCAAGGCACCGCGGCAATAGATGTGTTGCGGCCAGATACGATGCGTCGCGTGGAGCCTGGCACCACGAGCTCTGCTGGGGTCCCCTCCGCTGTAAGGATACCATGCTATTCCTATTATTAACGTTATTGGACATATGTTCAGCAGTCTTGTTGCTGATACTTATGATGATACGTAGTTTCTGAAGAAGTATTTAGAGGTTACTTAGAGGAGAAAAAGTGCCGCATTTGGATACATTCGCCAGATCTGGACGCACTGAGACATCCACTTTTCATTACTTGTATTACACAGAGGCTTAGTGACAGAGATACATGATGCATAACATAACATAACATCACGCCTTTTAACCCAGAAGGGGTAGGCAGAGGTGCACATTATACCACTGTTGACATGACGCAACGATTATAATTCCATTCCATATCATTAGGAACAGAAAACTCTCAAGATTTGATCTACAATATTACTTTGCCCGAATTAAGCCTTCCGTCCGATCAACAGAGTACCCTGTTAATATAAGTGTAGGGCGATCTTGCAGCCTTTACTAAGACATCAGAAAAAATAATGTCTTATTGGATTTTATAATATTAATTACGTATTTTTTAATTATAGTATGTTTGTTACCTCTACGAGATGCTGTTCGTTTTGTCACATCTGAAACAAATTAAGATTTCTACAATGAAATTATTGCCCTCACTTTGCCTAATCCGTGAATTTTGTAAAGTTGTTCTATGATGGCGATTTGGATAGGGATCGTATCTCCATTCCATGGACATGGTTTTAATCGTAATAAGATAAGTAGGTATAGACTGCACTCAAGTTATAATTTCCAAAAGAAACATAAGTTTGTGAAAATGTTTCTCGCGATCTTAACCTACGGTGTCGCGTGATTATTCTACATGGAACGTACTAGCAATCAATGCTCACCCATTAACTTCGATAACAAGTTGTTGTATAGAGTCTTGTATTGTTCCCTCACATGTGACTGGTTCAAAAAGTTCAATATGTCTCCCTTGTGTATCTCAGCTTCACCCGCCAAAACTGTATAATCCAACTCCTTCGTAGATTCTATCGGCACGTCATCTACCATATCGCATATAATGCATTTTTGAACAAAAACCAACATTAATAATACTTTTAACATCATTGTTCCTATGTAAAGTTATATTTGAAAGTAAATATTATGTCACCGATACTAAATATCATTTTCCAATATCATTTTTTTTATAACATTTTGTTTCTAATTTGTAGCGTCTACAATACAATCCGCGAACATGGGTATTACTTTAAATCTTAAGTCAAACAATTAATTCGAAAGTTATAAAAACAAATGGCCGTGAAATAAGAAAAGTTTATGGGGTGCATTAAGTTATGCAATGGCACGAGACGGACGCCTGCTAACAATTGCTGACAGAGCGCTGGGGTGAAACTTGTTGCTATTGTGTTTGTGCAGGCGTTTAACAACTTTTCCTCTCTGCTTAACATTATTCGGAGTTAATGATTGCGTCCTCTCGGTGCAGAGACGACTATTTTTAAAGGAAAATTGCTCCAAGAAAAGGTGTTTATGTAAAAAGCTCTTTAGTTATTTCAGAAAAGCTGTGAAGGTTCAAAAGATTAAGTTGAGACGTGAAGTAAACATATTTTTACTACAGATAGTAGGTATTTATTGGTTTATAATATCTACAATACATGAAATAAAATGCTCATTGGTCGAGTGGTCGCAAGTGCGACTGCCGGGCAAGGGGTCTCGGGTTCGATTCCCGGGTCGGGCAAAGTATTACTGGGTTTTTAAAAATTCTCAGTAGTAGCACGGAGTCTGGAATTGTGCCCGGTATATGGCAATAGGCTCACCCCCTATTACATGGGACTCATATAACATAAATAGTGAAAAGTGGGTGTTACATTGTACAGTGGCATAATGTGCACCTCTGCCTACCCCTTCGGGGATAAAAAGGCGTGATGTTATGTTATGAAATAAAATGTTGGATATATAGCGAAGGATAGTCCAAAAATACACGAAGTAGGCAGATAAGTCTAAATTCGTGCTTACGAAGACGCCAGGAGAGGAACCTCTCAGTGCGTGCCGTATCTAGAAATATGGCTCTGCATCAGGTCCTGTGATCTGCAGTCAAACTTCCTCCTTGAAATATATTTTAAAGTACTTCTGTTATTTTAAAAGTATGTAAAGACTTTATAAATTCTTGTTATAGGTGGGTGGTAGGTTCTTTTATGTCATGACTTTATATCAAGTTATTAATAATCACTCGATACCTTGACACAAATGTGACCTTGACAAAATTAAGTGTGTTTTTGAAGCGACAAGTAGGCAATCAATTTACTTGCACGTAAATTTCTTCTCATGACATTAAATTACAATGAAATAGAAGCATGTTTTTATAATAACTATCGTGAGATATACTAAATTAAGTAAAATCGCGGGTTACTCACGTGAATATACTGAGAACAGTCGACGTCGCCGCGACCGCGCACGCTGCTTATGAGGAAGAACCCCTCTGTGGTTCGAAACTAGTAGAGCTTTTGTCAGTATATTCACGTGAGTAACCCGCGATTTTACTTGAAATAGAAGTAGTCGCGGAGAACCTAACGGGTAACCGGGGCTCCGGCTCGACGTGCAGGAGAAGGAACGGGGTGGTTTTTAGTCACTAACTGTCTGACACTCCCTCCTGCCTCACCCAGGCGGGAGAAGTCATTTGATGATTTTCCCATTTTCCCCCCTTAAAAAAATGAAATAGAAGTAACTGCATTTCATATCTGGCAGCAGAATACGTCAGCAGAAATTCAAAAAGAAGGTTGCTTAACTTTTAAAGCGCTGTAAACATGTCCCGGGGCGGCATCCATGTCTCGGGGAACTCACCGAGGTCCCTGGTCCTTGAGTACGAACCGTTTCGACAGAAATTCTTGTTGCATATTTAATTTATACCGGTTAAGAAGTTTATGTAGATACTAATATGTTGTAGATAATGTCGCATAGTCGCATCTAAAGGGGATTGCAAAATACTGATAACTGGCAGAGATATAATTGATACGTTTTAGTTATGTTAAATATTTCTTCACACCTACAGTGAAAGATGCAACAAGAAACCTTACGCTTATAACGTGCCCACAAAGGCATTATTTCAGTCTTTATTTCTTAAAATATTGTACCAAAGATAAGGAAGAAAATAATGCGTTGCTCACCCTTTTGGAAGACACTGAACATGTTAATACATAACGCAGCTATACTACGGACATCTATTCAGGCCTGGCCCCAGTTTCCAACACTTTATTCATACATAATGGCGTCGGAACATATTCATTTAGGGCTTGAAAAGGGCACCGTTTATTGTGCGCACTTCGTCGAGTGTTAAGATTGCGAATAAAACGATTACTACACAAGTTTCTAAGTAGGCCGCCCTTGTAGGCGAAACTAAGGGAAGGTAGTCGATTTTGTAGCCTTTTGAATGTATTCCACTATTTTTTTATAAGTATTGTTGTTTTTACTGGGCTTATTGTGCTCAGTTACAATTTTCTCCAATGTATTACAAAGACACCTCCTTTGTAACACATTGGAGAAAAAATAGAATAAAAATAAGCTTCCGATGACATGTAAAATGTGTAGCACGGAATCTATTAAAGATCTAGTTAATAGACTAATACTTTACTATATTTGTGGTCGTGGTAGCCCGGAGGTTTAAGACGCCCGCTTCTCATGCATGAGGGTGCGGGTTCGAAACCTACCAACGGCAAGTACCAATGTGACTTTTTCCGAGTTATATGTACTTTCTAAGATTATCTAGACACCACTGACAAACGGTGAAGGAAAACATTGTAAGTAAACCTGGGCTTATAATTTCTAATTATAAGTTTGTAATCGCCAACCCGCATTGAGCAAGCGTGGTGATTAATGCTCAAACCTTCGAGGCTTTGCTCAGCAGTGGGCATTTATAGTCTGTTGATGATGATGATGATGATGATTACTATTTTTATTTAGTAAAATAACTTCAGTAATATTTATGTTTTTACATCACATTAGTCCCTATAAATGGTAAATGTGTATTATCTCCAGGTTACACAAGTGAATGAACAAAGAATTCGCAGGCAGACCGCATTCCATATTAATTACTTATATAGTTCGTACTTCAGTTGCTGTACTTTGTTACAAGTTTAAAACTACAGTGACTATGAGTTTTTTGGGAACGTTTTTTTGACGAGTACTGGAAGTAGAGATTGATTTCGTTCTTCTCAGTGTTATCTTCTGGTTACCTAACTTAGTTAGTGTACTTCATTGATGCATCAGGCTTTGTATTTTTTCAAATTTTATTACTAGGTCTTGGCTAAAATGAGTTGATGGTGTTTTCGGACATGTGGAGTACTAATGTCGTTATCATCTAGTTGTAAAACAATCAATAAAATAGCATAAATATATGGCAGACTTATATAAGTCTGACTACCTCATTGGCCGAGTGGTCGCAAGTGCGACTGCCGGGCAAGGGGTCTCGGGTTCGATTCCCGGGTCGGGCAAGGTACTACTGGGTTTTAAACAATTGTCAGTGGTAGCACGAAGTCTGGAATTGTGCCCGGTATATGGCAATAGGCTCACCCCTTATTACATGGGACTCATAACATAAATAGTGAAAAGTGGGTGTTACCTCTACATTGTAAGTGGCATTAAGTGCCGTAATGTGCACTTCTGTCTACCCCTTCGGGGATAAAAGGCGTGATGTTATGTTATGTTACTTGTATAAGTAGGTACACTTAAACCAATTACCTATACAATTCCAAGGAATAAGGCATATTATCAAGTTTCAATAACTAGAATTAAACTAAAATAAACGTATTATTTATCTACTATACATATTTACCGACCGATAAAAATATTTAAATTGCTATTGATAATGTTCAGTATACACAGTAATTTTCTACTCGATGGGCGCAATAAATGGAAAGTTTCAATACAGTATTTACGTATTTTATTTATGCAATTATTTCAATTTCAATTTCAATAAATATAACAACTGACAGTTATAATAAAACAATGAAATAAATAAGAATTAATTCTATGATATGCATAGCCTTGACAAAATTATTGTTTATTGATATTTATTATAGCAAAATGCACGTGCAAGTAGGACGTGTGTTCAAAGAGTCACATAAATTGTATTCTTTTGTAGAACGACTGAGTAAATAAGTCCTATACTGATACATGTAAGTCTATGAATGCATCGATTTCTTCTCTAATTAAAATGATACATTAAAACCTACGTCATGAGTAGTTGGCACTTGTACGACGTAGTTAAACTGAATAGATACAGTTGTGCTCCCCAAAGGAGTAGGCAGAGGTGCACATTGCACGCCTAAAATTAATGCAACAAACAATATTAAATCATAAGATGGTAAGTCTACTGTCATGAACCAAGCAGCTGTGCTCTATTTGAATAGATCTTGAGATAATACTACTGCTGACAAATATGAAGTCGGTAAAAAAAGGCAAGGGGTCTCAGTTTCGATTCCCAGATCGGGCTAAGTAACACTGGGCTTTTAAAAAGATTTCAATAGTAGCACGGAGTCTGGAATTGTGCCTGGTATATGGGAATAGGCTCACCCCCTATTACATGGGACTCCATATATAGTGAAAAGTGGGTGTTAAATTGTTTACTGGCAATAAGTGCCGTGTGCACCTCAGCCTACCCCTTCGGGGGTAAAAGCCGTGATGTACTAATAAAAAAATCGAATACTTAACACCATGCGAGTCGATAATCTAGTCTGAAACTCCCTGATGGACAGCCATGTTTGCGATCATTTTTATTCGTCCTTATTTTAATGTAACGTGAAATATTCCATAGTTTTACAGTCATCCTAGTCTCTAGCGGCAAAAGTTGGAATGTTTTAAAAGGCTGTGAGTTAACAATTTAGTTCGCTGCAGCAGATGAGCCCCGCTTCCGAACCGCACGGTACATCGCACAGCGTCTTACGAACCGGACTGGGATCTACCGTGTCTACTACTTTCGTTGGCTGCATGCTGCATCTACTTTTGTTACCATGTTTGTGTACGTTTTTCCTTATAATAATAGTTTTTGTTTAAGAATTTTGTATATCCTTTTTTTATGGCATAGGTCGGTAAACGAGCAGACGGATCACCTGATGGTA